TAACTTGAATGACTGATGATGAAGGAAAGTGAAGACCTTGTCCAGGTGTTTTCTTGACATACTGTAAGATGCGTAGTGCAGCTTGAAGATGATTTGTCCGAGGAACAGCCAAAAACTAACTTAACCTATTGACAGAGTAGCAAATATCAGGACGAGTGATAGTCAAATACGGTAATTTACCAATCAATCTCCTTCAACTTGTGACATCTTCAAGAATTTCTCCATCATCTTTTGACATTTTAAGATTGGGTTCCATAAGAATCGAAGAAGGTCTGCATCCCAAATATCCAATCTCAGTCAAAAAATCGAGAGCATATTTTCTTTGACAGAGCTTGATACCATCATCGTTTCTTACAACTTCCAGTCAAATGAAATATATAAAAGGCCTTAGATCTTTCATTTTGAATTTCTGTCTCAAGGTGGATTTCAAATTATTGACGACTCTTTCATTATTACTAGTTATCACAATGTCGTCAACATATACCAGAAGAGCCAGGAAAGTACTTTCTTGATTTTTAATGAATAGTGAATGATCACATTGTGACTGATGAAATCCTTCTTGATTCAGAACAGTGGAGAACTTGTGGAACCATTGTCGTGAAACTTGTCTTAAACTGTAGATGGATTTATGCAATCGACAAACAACATGTTGTGGAAAAATCTCCCCCTCTCAAAGAGTATTTCCTGAGAAATGGACATGTAAACTTCTTCGTCGAGATCACCATGTAGAAAAGCATTTGTAACATCAAGCTGAATAAGACTCCAATTAAATATAGCAGCAAGAGACAACAAAATTTTTACAGTAACCAATTTTGTAACAGGAGAAAAAGTTTCAGTAAAATCTATTCCAAATTGTTGTGTAAAACCTTTGGCAACAAGGCGTGCCTTGTACCATTCAATGGATCGATCGGTCTTATATTTGATCTTGTACACCCATTTACAGTCAATTGATTCCTTACATGGCGAAAGAGAAACGATAGTCTAGGTATGATTGTTCTCTAAAGAATATAACTCCATATTCATGGCATCTCGCCATACTGGTGTCCGGAGTGCCTTGACAAAGGTTTCTGGCTTAGTGTGGGAAGAAAGAGCAAATTTGTTATTAAGGTAATGAGGCTTGATTTTACTATAGGTGAGGAAGGAAGATAAGGGATGATGGATTTTGATGGTCGCAGTGTGGTAGTAATGATTGTCAGACAAGTGGGACGGTGGTCTAGTGACACGCTGAGGATGAGAAGTAGTAATGGGAAGAGCCGGGTAATAGTTTATCAATGGGCGGTGAAATCCCACTGTCAAAAGGAGTAGGAAAAACTCTATCATGAAAGATGTCATTGTGGGTGTCAGTGTATGGTAGGGAAGAAGAAGGGAAGATATCCTCATGAAATGTGATGTGCCGTGAGATGTGGATTTGATTGCTTTCAAGATCAAGGAGTTTGTATCCTTTATAGTTAAAGGGGTAGCCAAGAAAGACACAAGCACGAGAGCGGAGTGAAAATTTATGTTTGTGGCTCTCGAGTGTGGAACTATAGCATAAACAACCAAAAGTGCGTAAGTGGTCATATGAAGGTTTATTGTTATTTTGTAACTCAAAAGGTGTTTTACTGGAGAGTAAAGGTGATGGAGTGCGATTGATGATGTATACGGCAGTCAGGACACAATCCCTGAGTGAGGTCCTGAATGACACATGAATTAAGGAAAAAATTAACAGTGCTAGAACGAGTTGTGATCAAACTACTAACAATTATGAGATTGAAAGTGAATTCAGGAATATACAAGACATCAGATAAGGTTATGGATTCTTTTAAGACCACACTACTGACTTGATTGACTATCACAAAGCTACCATTAGGTAAATTAATATGGAGGGGTTCAACATGCTTAAGGGTTGTAAAGAAGGATTCAAGGAAGCAAGTGTGATGTCTGGTTCCTGTGTCAAGGAGCCACACTGCCGAGGTGGGTGTGCGTGTAAAAAGAGATAAGCCATAGAGAGGTATACCTGAGCTTGGTAGATTGAATGTGTCGATGGAGGCAGAGGTGGAGGCAACTTCTAGAGCCGGTATGATAAAGGCAGAGAACGGAGCATGGAGGCGTGTGCTTAGATGGGCTATTATGTTATGTATCTGCAATGGGCTGAGTGCGGCAATAGAAGCGATGGAGCTGAAGTCAGAGGCCAGAGACGCAGTGAAAACAGGGGCAATCACAAACGTGACTGAGGAAGAAGACCCCGAGTTGTGCCCTTTCACGTGGGCCTGAGAAGATTTGGGAATAGGCTTTGGTTGCTGCTGCTGCTTATGGGTTTCAATAGTGGGCTGAGGGAAATAATAGACTATAGGCCCTCCAGGCCCATTTCCATGTTTAGTTGAACGATTGTGAAAGGATGTGGCACGAGCCTCAGATTGACCTTGGACTTCAGTAAGTGGGCTCCTGGATTTGGGCTTGTGACCGATGGGGTAGCCGTGGAGCTTATGACAGCGGTCCACAAAATGGCCTATGAGCCCACAATGAGAGCACAAGGGCCTTCGTCTTCCACCTTGTGCTAGGGAAACAGTGCCCACGCCTGCAGCTACTTCTGAACCAAAAGGCGCCCCTTTAATTCCTACGGAGCGATACCACTCCTCCTGCACTACCAAGCTGAAGGCCTTCGCAATTGGAGGAGAAGATTCCATCATCAGAATTTGGCTGTGTATTCTGGCGTATGATTCGTTGAGTCCCATAAGAAAGAGCATCACCAACTCTTGTTCCTAGTAATCTTTCCAAGCCCTCATTCCACCACAATGGCATACGGGTGCGGGCTGATAGGTTTTTAGTTCATCCCACATAGTCTTCATTATGGTATAGTATGCATTCACCGTGAGGGAGCCTTGCGTGAAAGTGTTCATGGATTTCTTCAATTGGAATATTTTTGGTGCATTGCTTTGTTGAAATCTACGCTGTAAATCGGACCAAATAGCTTGAGCATTTTCAAGGTAAAACAGACTATCCGCGATGTCCTTCGCGACTGCATTAAGAAGCCATGAAATCACCATGGAGTCTGTACTGTCGGGTTGCGGCACCGAGCCATCTATGAAGCCCAGCTTGTTCTTCGTGTTCAACGCAATCCGCATTGCACGCTCCCAAGTGTTGTAGTTGTTTCCATTCAAGACGTGGGTGGCCAGGATTAATCCAGGATGATCATTACTGTGGAGGAAGAAGGGGTTATGAATTTCGTCGCTCATTGCAACTTGACCAGCTTGCGGATTGTGAAAGGTGGAAGAATCTAATTGGGGATTGCTGGAATCACAACCTCTGGCCATTTGGCGAGATAAATTGCGGCGCGATTTAGCAGCGGATCAAGAGCAATATTGCTCTGATACCATATTAGAAAACAGAGAATGAATAATCTCCTAATTTTCTCATTGATGAATGATGTAATAAAAAATATAAATAACTGTACAAAATAACAAAAAGACAAACTTTTATGACATAATGTACAACTAAATATATCACTAATTCTAATTTGATCTTAATATTACCTTTTTTATCGGTTTCAGACATTTAGTTTTTTTTTTCATTTTACTAAGGAAAAAAATAAAATTTGAATGTTTTAAAAATTAGTTGGAAACATGTATTTAACTAATTAATTAAAATAATAATAATAATAAATAGGTATAAATATATCAATTTAATAATTAATAAAAATTACTCATTTGATATGTTTTGTAAAAGTATGGAAACAAAATTTAACCAATTTAATTTTTTGTCGGATGGTGAAAGGAAACTAAGTGTTTAAGATAGATAAAAAAAAATGTTAATGACTAAATATTTTAAATGTTTAAAATAGATTTTTGTTTTTTTTTTAAAAAACAAAATCGCTGAAGTTTCCCCAGTTAGATGGAAACATCCAGAAACGGCGCCGTTGCATTTTGGCAGGGACTAGGGGCTGGGCTTACGCGTTGAAATGGACAGAAATTGGGCCACTATATTTAGATTCAAGTAACGGGGAAAGTTTTTTCTTCTGCAATTTTGTATAATCCATTTAATCATGGAAATTAAACGGACCATATTTTCTTATTTCGACATAATATTTGTTTTGAAGTTGGACACACACACACACATATATATATATTCTTAAATTAATAAAAAAACTTTGATAATTTTAGGATGAAATTTTGAATTATAAAAATCCTTTTTATGGAAAAATAGCGTAGTAGCGGATATTGAAAAAAATAAACAAAAATGAATATTTTGTTTTGAACGTAATGATTTTCATGTGTATGCATGCAATTATTGCTTTTTCAATTGATTTCTTTATTGCGTCATCAATAATTTTTGTAGGAAAAAGACATTGAACAAAAACTTTTTAAAACCACAAGACTTCGGCCGAAAACGGCCAGAAACAGCCAACTCGAGGCGGATCGCCTACTGAGCACGGGATTGAAGTCTGAATAAATGATAAAATTATATTTTGTACAAATTGAGTAAATATGCATAATTAATTACGGTTGCTAATGGAGCCCGAATCGGACATATTTATCTGTCAGTTCCTATTTGATTTATTTTACAGTTTAAATGCATTATGGTATATGGTTTATTTTATTTTATGATTTTGAATGCATGAATCACTGTTTAGTTCATTTCGGCCTGATTTTGTGAATATAATGATATGCTTACCTTGTTGGATGCTCGTTAATTGCTTTAGTATTCATGTTTATGTGGGAAACGGAAAGCTAAGAAATAATAGGAAATGAGCGTGAATTGATAAATAGATAAGTTGACAGTCTCACTAGATATCCTGAGAGATGGTGGACGGACCGGGTTCATAAGGAACCCTACCGAGAATGTTATCTCATACCGGACGGGGTATGGAGATTTTAAATGTTTTGGCGCTCATACCGGACGGGGTATGGGGACGGTCCGCTTCACCCTCATACCATATGGGGTATTGAGGTTTATTGTTTGACGCCCATACCAGACGGGGTATGGAGATGGCCCTAGAAATTAAGTTTATTAAGGGAATAGTTCACGTGTAGTAGAGACCCACTATGGATCCCCATAGATACTAGTAGGCTGATGAAAAGGGGGCAACTGTTGTTTGATGATTGAAATATAAAAGTATGACGTGTGTTATATTACAGATTTTGTATGAAATCATGATATCTATGATGTTATTGTTTCCATGGGTTGTTTTTTATAAATCTCATTAAGGTAAGTGGACGGTAAATGGTTCGATTTTTTATAAATGAATTTGTTTAAAAATTGTGCTCCATTGGTTGTTTTTAATTTTTTACTAACCTTTACTTCTGTGACGGTGAATAGTGTGATATCCTTACTAGACTAGTGTAGCTCATTCCTTATTTAATCATTTCAGATCAGTAGGACTTGGTTCTCGAGCCCGATCAACAAGAAGACGGCGAGTAGATGGTAGATGCCATGAAGTTTTCTTTATACTTCTTTCATTTCTAGTATTTCTTTTAGAAAACTTATTTTTTGATATTATTTAGTATTTTTAAGTTCTTGTGTAAGGAATATTAACCTAAATCTTTTATTTCGCTTCCGTACTCATATTCTTTATATACATTTCCTTTTGAATTTTTCGGGGCCGTTACAGTTGGTATCAGAGTCACGTTCCTCAGACTTGTACCTTACACAATGATACTTAGAGAAACACCAAACTAACGAATCTTTACTCAATCTTTCCTTGTGAAATGCAAGTGCAGAGAGATGAGAAGATGAAAACCCCCACTAAACCGAGCGGCCCGGGATGGTTCGCTTCGGGAAGACGTTAACAGAATATTTGAGATGCTGAAGAGACTCATTGCTGCCCAGCAGGGTCGAGAGGAGAGAAAGGAGCTACCCGACCCTCCCCCACTGCCACAGGTTGAGCCACCACTGCAGCGAGAGAATCTCGAGCCACCCTGGTATGAGCCTGCTCCTCCATAGTACCGCTCGGTGCCACCACCACAGTAAAATCCGGTGCCCCAGCCATAGTAGTGCCTGGCACCGCCACAATATAATCTGGTGCCCCCACCATACCAGCAAGTACCACCACAGGACCCCCTAGTTTATCCTCAGTCTGGCCCAGTCCCACTTCTGCCGGACCCAACTCAGTCCATGATTGACACAAGCTACGTAGAGAGGTACAGGAGACTGAACCCATCCACTTTTAGAGGGGAATCCTCATTTGAAAATGCCCAGTATTGGTTGGCAGAGACGGAGAAGGTCTTCAAGACCCTAGGAGTGACTTCCGAGCAAGGGTCACCCTTACTACGTACATGCTGGTGGGAGAAGCAGACCATTGGTGGGAACTCAAGCAAACCACCCTACCTGTTCTAGTCACTTGGGAACAGTTCTTAGTAGCCTTCAATGCAGAGTACCTCCTAGAGTATATCCGACATCTAAAGGAGATAGAATTTGTCCAATTGGTCCAGGGGAACATAACGGTGTCAGAATATGCCCGTAAGTTCCTGGAGTTGGGCAGATACTCCCTAGAGACGTTGATTGATGAGGGTAGGAAGGCTAGGAGGTTCTAGTGGGGCCTCTACTCGGAGATCAAACAACATCTATTTGTTTTGGAGCTCAAGACATACTCAGCTATTCTGACCAAGACACAGTTAGTTGAAAGGAGCCTCCACACCCTCCCTCCGCCAGCAGGGAACCACCGACCCTCAGCTCCATTCCACAGATCAACACCTACTACGCCTGTCCAACAGAACAAGAGGCCCAGACCGGTGATCCAGGATCCCCCTCACGCTCCAGTGGCAGGACGTGGTAAAATCTGTCAACATTGCGGCATGGATCACGGGGACCGACCATGTTACCGCCTCAACAACACTTGTCGCATATGTGGTAGTGCCCAACACTATGTGAGAGAGTGACCAAGGAACCAGAATCAAGGAAGACCTCCTATTCAAGGTAGGGCTTACAACCTCACTCAGCAGGATGTCGACGCCGACCTGGACGTAGTATAGGGCATGTACACTATCTGTAACCATCTTGCTAATGTTTTGTTTGACACTGGTGCATCGCATTAATTTGTTTCACCTGTTTTTGCATCCAAATTTAATGTATTACCTGATAAACTTGATTCAATATTATTTGTATCTACTGCTGGGAGTGCAACATTACTAGAAAAAGTTGTCTACAAGGCTTGTGCTGTAGAGATAGCAAATAGAAAACTGAGTGTAGACTTGATACAATTAGACACGAGGGATTTTGACGTAATTTTAGGGATGAATTGGCTAGCGGCGTATCATGCCACTATAGATTGCTTTAGTAAGAAGGTTGTATTCAATCCTTCTAATGGGAGGCCATTTACAAATGAATAAAATCATTTACTACTTATTCCTTGATGATAAATTTTCTTAATTGTCGAGTGCCTTAACCTTGCTATTTTCTCTAATTAAGCAAATCTAAGAAAGAAAATCGTATTCAAGAGATTCTAGTTATCCAAGACTTTCCAGATGTGTTTCCGGATGAACTACCCGGACTACCAGTAGACAGAAAAATCGAGTTCACCATAGATCTACAGCCTGACACCCAACCTATTTCGGCTGTTCCTTACCGCATGAGCCGCGTTGAGATGGAGGAGTTGAAGAAACAGAACACTGAATTGTAAGACAGTAGTTTTATCAGACATAGTGTGTCCCCTTGGGGTGCCGGAGTCACTTTTGCCAGGAAGGGTGATGGAACGTTGAGGCTATGTATTGATTACAGAGGATTGAACATGGTCACAATCAAGAACAAGTATCCCCTTCCTAAAGTTGATGACCTCTTTGATTAGTTTCAGGGTGCGCAGGTCTTTTCCAAAATAGACCTGCGATCAGGTTACCATCAGGTGAAAATAAGAACAGAAGACATCCCCAAGACGGCTTTTCGAACCAGGTATGGATACTATGAGTTCTTGGTCATGCCATTTGGGCTAACCAACGCCCCAACCATTTTCATGGATCTGATGAACATTTAGGGAATTTCTAGATCAATTTGTTATCGTATTCATCGATGACATCCTGGTCTACTAAAAAAGTAGAGAAGAACATGTTCACCATCTAACCCAGGTTTTACAGGTTCTCAAAAGAAAGAAGCTGTATGCAAAGTTGAATAAGTGTGGATTCTGGCTTGAGTAGACCGCCTTCCTAGGACACATCACATCAAAGGATAGAGTATCAGTGAATCCTGAAAAGGTTGAAGCCGTGCTCGGCTGGGAGAAATTGACATCAGTTAAAGAAATCCGTAGTTTTCTGAGAATGACGGGCTATTACCGCAGGTTCGTTGAATGATTTTCTAGTCTAGCAGCTATCCTAACCCGACTCACAAA